ACTTTGCAGTAACTCATTGAGTTGTACGATTATGATTTGTGCATTTTTATAAATGTATGTTGTACTTCAATTAATAGTTTATTTTAAAAAAGCAGTGACTCAGTTTAACTGTCTACTTTTTAACAATAACTGATAAACCTTGCATTTTGCTGGGAGAAGTCTTCGGCATATCTCTGCAAAAGTTCTACCATTGATCATTTGCTGAGCAAAAACCAAAGAGTCAACTGTATTGAAAGTAATTGTGGTTAATAAGGATTATAGACTCTAAGTAGGCATTCTGCAAAGGCAAGCAACTGTGGATCAATTCCAAAGCTGGAAAAGTACAAGTAGTTATGTGGTTGGAGTCCTGCCTGTTAGTCCAAATGATACGTTTGTGTGAATTAGAAAAAGCCAGCACCCCTCTTAAGCTAGAGTCCCTGGGTGGTGCAAAGAGTTAAGCTCTCTACTATTAACCAAAAGGTTGGTGGTTTGAACCCACCTAGAGCACCTCAGAAGAAAGGCCTGGTGATCTGCTTTCAAAAGGTCACAGCCTTGAAAACCTTATGGAGTGCAGTTCTACTCTATACACATAGGGTTGCTATGAGCTGGAATCGACTCCAAGGCAATGGATTTTTGTTTTTTCTTCTCAAGCTACTTTACTAGCATCTGCTGGAAAAATCATTCAAATCTAAAAGAACTTGCATGCAAATACTACATCTAGAATGTAGAAGGAGCCTTGGTGGTACAGTGGTTAAAGTACTCAGCTGCTAAACAAAAGGTCAATGGTTCTACCCACCAACCACCCTGCACAACCTGCACAAGTGTGTGTCATTCCTGCTTTGACAGTATTTAACAAGAACCTTTCATTCTGCTGAAAACACCATCCCTATTCACCAAAATAAATTTGTTTCTTACACAAAGCAGATTGGGTCACTTCATTCTTTTTTGATTTGTACTGCTATGCTCGGTGGAGTACAATCAAATCAGAACTAAAAGAGCTACTGTATTTACTACAGCAAATCAAAACCCATTGCCATCAAGTCAATTCCAACTCATAGCAACCCGATAGGACAGAGTAGAATTGCCCCTATAGGGTTTCCAATGCTGTAAATCTTTATGGAAACAGAGTGCCACATCTTTCTCCTGCAGAGTAGCGGGTGGGTTCAAACCACAGACCTTTCAAGTTAGCAGCCAAGCGCTACTCCTGTAGTAAAAGCCCTTTGGATTTTTTGATCCTTTTTGTTTACCTCAATGTCTGGTAGAGACAAAAGGTAAGATAAAGGAAGTGGAATGTCCTGTAGTAGCCTAGCTATAGTACCTGCAACTATCTTTTTTCATGGAAGTGGAAAAAATGCCAAATTGTTAGCCTTCGATGCCTGAGGCTAATTTCCTAACTTAAACTGGACAACTTAGAGACAATATACAATTTGGCACTGTATGTCTGTTCTGTGACTACTTTTCTAGTTAGTACATGTTTTTTTGAAAATTCAATCCAAGTCTATATTGATTTTTAAACCTTTTAATTAGAAGACAAATGTATGTTCAAAGAAAAAAAGAAAAAAATTATAGATGAACAAAAAGAACAAAATAAAAAATCACTTGTCTTTCTAATTACCTAAGAATAAGCAGTTTGGTATATATCCTTGCAAACTTTTAAAATGCAAGCTATATCTTATATAAAAACCACTTACCCATTCATGCCTATGTCTACATATTTATCGCATATCTATAACTACATATGGAGCCCTGCTTCAAATCCACTTCATTAAAGGTAGTCCTAATTAGACAGAGTAAGAAATCACATACAAATTAAGCATAGGAACCAATGAAAGAAACGTGTTCACATACCAATAAGTCAGTAAGAAGGGGGCCACAGTATGTCCGCCCATAGAAGCCACCATGACAATATGACCATGATTATTCTTCATCATTGCTGGAAGAAATGCCTTTGTAGTCTAGAAACAGTTTTTATTAAAAGAAAAAAAAAATACTGTTATCTCTGGTTCACAGACTAATTGGGAATACTTTGAAACAAAGGTATATTTTTGGTAATGTTGTTCATGGTCTAAATGAAAAACTTAGGTTAACTGACAAAATATGCAACATAAGGCAACTGGATAGGATGCCCAGATTAGAAAAACTAATACAGAAATGAATACGAAAAGCTTGGAGAATCCATCTCATTTAAATCTGGCTAACTTCTCATGTCCCCCGATCCTTCACCTCCGGTCATCAGTATCTTCTATCATCTCATGTACTGAATGGGGTAATAATCTAGAATTATCAAAAGAATTTACATGTGATGTGAAATCGCTAAACAATTATGTCATCAAAACACTGAAGCAACCAGCAATCCTCCAGTGGTCCCTGAGCACAGTTTTATTGAGCACCAACTATGTACTGGGGATGCAGAAACAAATCGGACAAGGTTCCTACTCTCAGATATCTTATATTTTAACAGAGGCATAAGGAAGGGGAAACACGTCATAAAAGTGCAAAGACAGATGTCAATGACTTGGAAATGTTAACATAAAATAAAACTGTGTTTTCACCAACCCAAATCTTCTTTTAGATTGTTCAGCCTAAACTCATATCCAAGAAAACTTTAAGGGACCTTTTAGGAACTGGCCTTTGCAGCAATATTCCGACTTTTCAGAAACACACACACACACACTATTCAAGACCTTGAATGGCGAGATTCGTAACAGTCTGCAGTTTTGGGACCAGGAAACAGCATGAGTGTTGCTCTCATGCGAATCTGAAAGCAAACTGTGTTCACCTTTTATAGAATCACAGATGACTCAGAAGGTCCTTAATCTTTTCCTTTATCTCTAAACAGGATCACAAAGAGATGTGAGAACCTAACTTAGAATTAAAACACACATGGCAGCTGAAGTTTACTATTAGTATTATTATTATTTGATGAGGAGGAAGAATAAATGGACTAGGATAGGTCATGGAACAAAAAATGATCACTTTGTATAATGTTATCCCTGGCACCTGGAGAAACTTTAGTATTTACTTGATACTTCCTTATATCTGCTGAAAGCTCCACTTTAAACATAATCTTCAGGTTATTCAAAAGGGAATGTTTTTATAAAAGAAATTATACTTACCCAGAAATGGGCAAGTACATTAACCTCAAAAGTCTTTTCAATCTGAGGCTCTTGTGTAGACATCAAATCTGCTGTGTATACTGCACCAGCATTATTTACTAAAATACTCACATCTCCAATTTCTGCCTTCACCTTTAAAAATAAAATCAGAAAAATATACATATCATTAAGAAATACAAAGGTAGGTTTGCATGCAATGGTTATTAACAGAATATGGGTTTTTCTACCAGATGTGGAAAATGTGTAGTTTTGTAATCTATATGCACACATGAAAAAAACTTTTATTTTTATTTTAGGTACTCAGATGCAAAACAGCTCTGCCAGTAAGTCTACTAAGTAGAAATTGGGTGTTGCAATTTAGTCTTTTGATTTTGCTCTATTGATTATAGCCCAAGAGATACTTGCTTAATGGAAACATAACCAGTGACAAATAAGCTGCATTTATTTTTAAATACCACTTCAAAAGCTAAGCAAAAAATAAAAAAGTTTTAACAAATTAACTGGCAATTGTAATCAAAAGGTCAGAGGTTCCAACTCATTAGCCGCTCCACAGGAGAAAGATGGTGGCAGTCTACTTCCGTAAAGTTCTACAGCCTTGGAAATCCTATGTAGCAGTTCTACTCTGTCCTATAGGGTCACTATAAGTTGGAATCGACTTGACAGCAACGAGTGTTTTTGTTTTTGTTTTTTGTATTAAGAATTATGTAAATTTGATTATGCTGTTAAGTTGGCCGCATCTATTTCTTTATTTCCATTCTTTTATTTTCATGGGCACTCCATTCTATTGCTAACTAACCTTTCTCCATCAGGTGGCAGCAGGCTTAGGGGTGAAGAGTGCAGTCTCTATGGTCAACCTTGAGTTGCGTCCTGGCTCTGCCACTATCTATCTGTTGGGCCTTGAACAAGCTACTTAACCTCTCAAAACTTCAATTCTTCCTCTGGAAAACAGAATTAATAGTACAGCTTCCTTGTGAGTTGTTGTGGGAACAAATGAAATAACACATACAAAGGGGCTAGCACTGTATCTGGCAAACATAGTAAACTACTATTATATTATATATCATTATTACATGTCCATTTATACATGTCTACAAGTAACATGTTTGATGGCTTTTCTTGACCTTCTGAGATGTCTATGATGTGATAAACAAATATGAGGTAAATAATATAAAAATACATATGTGTGGTATATCTGTTTTTTTCCCATGATAATTAAATCTACTTTGGCATTAATTCAGAAGGAAGAACATCTGAGAAATTAAAATGCTCTGTGGAAGGACTTATGTAAGTTTGAAGGCCAGCTTCAAAGGTCATTGCAGCTCTCATAGGTAAGATGATTTCAGTTGAGAAAATATAACCGAAAGAACAAAGTCAGCTGCCAACAGCCAACAGAGGGCATCCACTGAATTGTAGACTATTTGTACTCAATAGGGAAGACTTACAGGTAATGTGATTTTTTTAAAAACAATTTTTATATCTTCCAGACTCTGATGTAATTAGCAGTATGTTTAAACAAGAAAGCTCATAGATCTTGACACTTAAGCTTAACTTTTTATAAGATTGGAGGACCACAGATTCTCACAACAATTCTATGAAGTAGTACGTATGCCCACTTAGTATGCCAATTTTACAGATGAGAAACATGAAACATAGAATGGTTAAGTTTCTTTCCCAAGGTCACATGGCTAGTAAATGACAGAGCTGGAATTTTTGCAGATTATTAGTCTCTATTCGTCTGCAGCAAAAGAGAAAGAAGGAAACCCAAGAATCAGAGACAGAGTCAATCCTATAGGATTACCATATTTTCACTCAAACAACACGCACCTTCTACATTTATTTGCCAACTGCCCCCTCCCCCATGAGGTATTTTGGTAAGCACACTCTGCTAATTTTTTTTTTTACAGCAACATGTAAAAAAATTGGCATAGTAGCATACCTCATGGGGGGAGGGCACAGCTGGCAAACAAAAGTAGAAGGCATGCATTACTTGCATAAAAATATGGTAATTGTCTCCATGATCCATAGCCTCCTCTACCTTGAGACCAGAAGAACTAGATGGTGCCTGGCTAACAATACAGAACATCCTAGTTAGGGCCACAATAAATGGATCCTTATGGAAAGGGAGGAAAATGTAGAACATAACTTCAACATTCTCAAAGAACTCAGGCTTACTGGGACCTATGAAACTGAAGGAATCCCCAAGACTATTGCCCTGAAATACTCTTCAAACCATGAACCAAAACTATCCTCTGAAGTCACCTTTTAACTAAATAGCCGATTAACTCTAAAAGTAAAAAATGTCACCCTTAAATATTGCACTCTTTTAAAAAATTAACTATATGAGACCAATGGTCGACAGTTACTCTAAAGCATGGATGAGACGTTGGGGCAGTGAGAGGAAGTTAATGGGAATGGAAAAACTAGACTGGAAATAAGAATGCTGACGCAAAGTGAAGACTGTAATCAATGTCACTGAACAACGTGTAAAAATTGTTGAATGGGAACCTGTTTTGCTATGTATACTTTCACCAAAAATACAATAAAATATATTTTTGAAATATTCCAAAATCTAGAATTCCATTAACAAAAAGATTCTCAATTCTGGTTGAATCTGAATCTTTACACCATACTGAATCAGAATATCCAGGGGTGGGTCCAGAAATGTGTATTTAAAAGAACCTGCCCACATAATCCCAATGATCTTCCTACCATTAAGGTATTTATTTAATGGGTACATGTAAATACACACTCAGAGTAAAGCCCTATTATATATCTCCCATCTCAACTGTATATAGAAGAGGCAAACAATACTTTATAAAATACATCTATCTACTAAAAAAGTCCAGTGAAGAAGAGGTTTATCTTAACTTTCCAACGCAACTCTTATAAATAGCTTCCTTCCCAATATTCATTGTTTATGTGAAAGAACTTATAAGTGATTCTATAAGTATCCTCCAAGGATTATTTGCATCAGAATCAGATAGGCGAGTAAAGGAGAATGAAGAACACCAAAGACACAAGAAAAGTATTGGCCCAAGAGACAGAAAGGGCCATATAAACCAGAGACTTCATCAGCTTGAGACCAGAAGAACTAGATGGTGCCCAGCTACCACCAATGACCGCCCCAACAGGGAACACAACAGAGTCCCTGAAGGAGCAGGAGAAAGGTGGTGTGCAGAACTCAAATTCTAGTAAGAAGACCAGACTGAGACTGGAGGAACCCCAGAAAGCATCGCCCCTGGATTCTCTATCAGCCCAGAACTAAAACAATTTCTGAGGCCAACTCTTCAGACAGGGATTGGACTGGACTGTGGGACATAAAGTGATACTCGTGAGGAGTGTCCCTCTTAGCTCAGGTAGATACAAGAGACTAAATGGGCAGCTTCTGTCCAGAGGTGAGATGGGAAGGCAGAGAGGGTTAGGAGCTGGTTGAATGGACATGGGGAATCAGGGGTGGAAGGGAGGAGTGTGCTGTCACAGTATGGGGAGAGCAAATTAGGGTCACATAACAATGTATGTATAAATTTTTGTATGGGAGACTAACTTGAAATGTAAACTTCATTTACACTAAAACAATAAACAAAATAAAAAAGAATCAGACAGGCAAGGTGGAAGTGCTGGATTGCAAAACATACAGATTCCTCAACCCCACCCATGACCTCCTGGAGTGGAACCCAAGAATGTATATTTTTAACAAGCTCCCTGAGAGATTCCAAAACACAATTCTAAGCTCTAGTCTGGATCTCCCACTAGCTGGCTCAATAACCTTGAGCTTGGGCAAATCACAAAACTTCTCAGTTACCTTATCTAAAACATGAAACGACCAGGTCATCTCTAAATTCCCTCCCAGCTAGCATGATGATTCTACCCAAACATAAATTTCACCTTCTTAGCAGCATTGTGAATCTCTTCTCGGTTACTGCAGTCTACTACAAAGGCATGTGTCTTGGCCCCCAGTCTCCTGCATTCTGCAGCTGTTTCCTCAATTCCATGCTAGGAAAAGCAAAAAGAGGGAAGAGAACAAAATAAATGGCATTTGCATATTATATCAGACAGCTAAAAATAATTAAGTGTAGTCATACTCTTTAAACTTGAGCAAGAATTTAACTGACACACATTTTATACACACTTTGCTCACAGTACTTTGACTAGCTTTTCTAATCTGATACTAAATTAATTCAAAGCAGTTTTTAGAAAATCTTAAAGTACTAGTTTTACGAGTTTTACACATTTTGTGAACGAATGTATGTGTGTGCATTCCATATCAGGCTTAAAAAAAAATAACCTTAAGCTTTTTTTCCATGTCATTAAAAATTATTCATGGGCATCAATAGACTGGCTGCAAAATAAGTAATCAGTTAAGTTCATTCACTCATTCATTCCTTCAACATTTTAAAGTGCACATCATGTGTAGGTCATAATCATTGTGCTTAGAAGACCTTATAGACACAAATATGAATGAAACACAGTCCTGACCACAAAGATCTCACCAACTAGTAGAAACAAACACAAATTAAGTTTAATATTTAGGTTGGACCATATTAAATTTTTATTGTTGTAGGTAATAAAAGATTGAATATTGGTAGTTTCAGATACTTTATCTTAATACATTGTGGTAAGTATAATAATAGAGCTATATATAGACAGTTATGGGAACACAGAGGGACATGCAGCGCATGAGTTGGGTCTTTAGGGTGAGTAAAACAGCCAGGTAGCAGGGGAAAGGACATGCCAGGCAGAGTGTAAGCACAGAGATGGACAAGAGAATGGTCCTGCGAGGAACCAATAGGAGGTCAGTGTTGCTGAATCAGTAAGCTCAAAGCAAGCAGGAGTCCACATTAAAGGTATTAGATGTCAGTGGTGCCTCAGTTAAGCGCTCTGCTGCTAACTGAAAGGTTGGCGGTTCGAACCCAACCAACAGCTCCACAGGAGCAATCTGTTTTACTAAAGATTACAGGCAAGAAGACCCTATGGGCAGTTCTACTCTATCACATGGTGTAGTTATGAGTTGAAATCGACTCGACAGAATCTAAGAACAGCAAAGTCATATTAAGTTTTATCCACCCAAGCAAAATGGGCTGTGGGGATATATGCCATTTAAACACGGCTGCACTATTGACAACTGCAGCCCCCACAGGCCTCTGTGCTGCACAGCATGTTGACACTTGTCTCCAACATGTCGAGACTTGTCCAGATGTGTTTTCCCAAACCTATTGTCCCTTTACTGATTGACTTGTTTACCTGAATTCCTTCTTCCTTGCCCGTACTCAAAGCTCATTGTTTTGTTAATTGCCTTATTGATTGCTGTATTGACTATAAAATAAACTCCTGGGACTGAAGTGGGTGTCGACTCCTCAGAGTGACCCTCCTGGCCCCACTTCTCTGTAAGAGTTGTGCAGTTGGTTACTGTCTTTGCTGTCCCGATTACCGTCGCTATAATATGGATCGAGCTTGCAGACATGATGCTGAGTGAAGTAAGTCAATCACAAAAGGACAAATATTGTATGACTTCACTTATATAAAAAGACAAGAAAAGGTAAATTATAGAGATCAAAGTTTATTAGTGGTTAACGGGCTGGAGGGAAAGGGAAGGGGGGTTAATGATGATGGAAAAATCACACTGATTAAGGGTAGGGTTGCACAGCTGATTATTAACATAGAAGGTGTGCATTATTTTTGTAAAAATATGGTAATAGCCCACATACACCACAACCTCTTCAAACCTGAGACTAGAAGAACTAGATGGTGCCAGGCTGCCGACTGTTCTAACCAGGCACAATAGAAGATACCGGATATAGTGACAGAAAAATGTAGAACAAAACTCAAAAAGACCAGACCTACTGAACCAAATAGACACTAGAGAAATCCCCGAGACTATTGCCCCAAGATACCACTTGCATATGGAACTGAAGCTATTTCTGCAGGTCACCTTTCAGCCAAATAATAGGTTGGCTTATAAAACAAACAATATCACCCGTGAGTAATGTGCTTCCTTAAACAATTAACTATATGAGACCAAACAGTCAACAGTTACCCAAAAGCAAAGATGAGAAGACAAGAAGGGGAAGGGAAGCTAGATCAATGGAAACAGAACAGAATGGAAATAATTAGAATGCTGACATGTTATAAAATTTGTAACCAATGTCACAGCACAATTTGTATAAAAATTGTTCAAGGGAAACCTAACTTTCTGTGTAAACTTTCACCTAAAACACAATAAAATATTATTTAAAAAATGTTTTAAGAGCCAAAATCAGCAGGACTTGGAGACTGTCTGAGGATGGAGGGAGAGGAGCTAAGATTGCTGATTCAACAGCAATGGATTTGGTTTTCATTTGGTTTTCACTGGCAAGAGAGGAGACCTGGTGGCACAGTGGTTAAGCACTCAGCTGCTAACCGAAAGGTCAGCAGTTCAAACTTACCAGCCTCTCTGAGGAAGAAAGATGTGGCAGTCTGCTTCTGTAAAGATCACAGCCTTGCAAACCCTACTGGGCAGTTCTACTCTGTCCTACAGGGTTACTCTGGGTCGGATAGACTGGACTGCGGTGAGTATGGTTTCTGGAATTGGGAAGATGGTGCCGCAGTATCTGACATAGAGATTTCAAGAAGAGAATTAGGGAAAGGGTGATGAGCCTTTGGGACATTGATTTTGAGTCACCTCCAATTCAGGATCATACCACAAGGCTTTTTTTTGTTGTTGTAGTGTTTTTATTTTTGTTTGTTTGCTTGTGACCAATTTTGTAGCTTTTTATTTTAAGGGAATGTCTCACAGAATATCTTTGATCGAGGTCTAATCTGTGAGCTTTGCAGGCCCAGAAATTATTGTCAGCTAATGCACAAGAGGCCAGGCTGTGGGAGAACATATTACATTTACCCCAGAAAGGATAGTCAATCAGAACACCAGTGTACAAATTTGCTAGTAAACAGTGATCAATGCTGCAGAAAAAACAACTATGGACAACTATGAAACGAATTGGTGGTTTGTGTAATGAGCTTGTTACGGTAGTAAAAGGAAATGGGGTGTTTTTACTTTACTGAAATCTCCTTAAACTCTGAGGAAGAACACTATTCCCCAGGAACATCAAAACGTCTCATATGAACCTTATGCCCTTCTCGCTGTACCTAACTGGCAAGTTTTTAACACTCCACTTTAAAGGTTTATCACATTGACTCTTTGGCTCTTCTCTTTATGTAAAATTCCATTCTTATTTAGAATGACTTTTACAATAAAAACCATTTTCCATTCATTCTGTTTTCAGAGATTTGGTTGGTTTCCTACAGCTACCAGTGAACTGAGGGTGGAGGCAAAGGTGTCTTTTCACATTTGTTGTCTGACTTTTACACCCCATTTCCTCGGCCCATCTCACTTAGGTCCAAGCTCTGCTTGCCACACCTTTGGAATGGTGCAACAAATTTGAGTTCTAAATTCCTCCAGTAAAAATTTCAGACAGACATTGTATTTATCTTGTAAGAAATAAAAAAAAGTAAGCAGACCTTTAAGGGAGAATGGATTTCTCCTTTAAATTTTTTCTCAGCACAGTGGAATTACTTAGGAATCATTCCTTAGAACTTACCTTGGTAACTTTTTTCTTAAAAGTGTTGGATTCAGTTCTCAAATCTTAATCCTGGGCTCTTCTTTAGTCTTTACCTGATCATTTTTTGCCACATAATCCCACAACTAAAGCTTTTTCACAGATTACCAAAATTATTAGGAATTTAAATGTTTTTCTGATTCTTCCCATTAGTTTTTTCAATTATTATTCATAAACTTACTTTTTCATTCAATAAACAGTCTTTAAGCATATACTCTGTACTCAGCACGTACTATAAATTTATCTTCCCAAACTAATCTAACCAGGCCACGGAGGGTGAGCATAGTCAGGGAGTGACAGATTATCTGTGTAAACGAGAATGAATAATTCATGGCATTCCTTCGATTTTAGTACAGCAACAAAGAAGTCACCAGTAATTCCTCCCTAAATAACATTCCTTTTTTTTGTAGACTTAACAGTGGATTTGAAAATGTCAGTTCCTGACATCCTGAGATTGATACACTTTCCCATTTTTTCTAGACATGCTATCCTTTCTCACAGTTTATGTTAATTTGAGAAATTATCTTTGGGAACAATTTGTCTTTGTACCTTAGGTGAAAAAACTTCGCTCTGGCCCCTCCCTACCACTCCAGATTGATCCCACAACAATCTTGAAATCCACTCCACTTTTTTACTTTGTCTCCACATATCCACCAGCCCAAGAGTTTTACATTTTTAGTTTCTCTTACCTGGACTGCTTGAAATTCCCATTACCCGTTCGTTCTCTAGCCAGGTTTAGAAGTTCTGACTTTGAAATTTAAAACTGTAAAATTTCAGGAAAAATAAGAGTGGGGTGTGTATACTGAACTAGTATTGCCAACATTTTATTTTGCCAGATAAGGACGTTAAAAAGTAACAAAGCAACTATCAGGTACTGTCATTGCAATTTCATAAAAAAAATGTATCTTACCCACAAAAAAGTAGGAACGCCATATCTCAAAAGAAACGGTAGATTATTTAAATTAAACTAATTTGTCATTGTGTGCCTTGGAGTCAATTCCAACTCATAAACTAATTAAACTTCACTTAATTTGTTGTCTTTAATTTTCTGACTACTTCTCACCTCCTCTACATGGTCAACCAAGCCACCGCTCTCTCTCGCCTGGATTATCACATTAGTATCCGAACTGCTCTCCCTGTTTCTACCCTTGTTTCCTGCCCCTAGATCTCCCCCCACCCCTTCAATCTGTCCTGAAAACAGCAGCCAGAGGGTCCTCTTTAATATAAATTTGTTCACATCCCTCCACTGGCTTCTTGGGTAAAAGCCTACATTTACAATGGCCTACAGGAACCTCTCTGATATGGAGCCCCGACCTCTGGACCAGTGCTATCCCACTATGCCATTGAAATATAATGGGAGCCGTGTATAATTTTTTTTCTTTTTCTATTAGCTACATTTAAAAAACAAAATTTAATAATATATTTTATTTAACCCAATATACCCAAAATATTGTCATCGCAACATGTAGTCAATATAAAAATGTTCCGTGTGGCTAATGCCTACAATCTTCTATTGTACTGGACAGGACTGATCTAGACCTTTCTTATATAGTGAAACCTGTGAAAGTCGGAACTGGACGGGACTGCCTTGCTTATCTGGCTCTCGAAAGTTTTCCACCTTTGACGGTGCAGTGGTAAGACACTTTTCTATCACTCTCTATTAGTGGAAAATATTTGAGGTTTCCTTCTCTGACAGGTTTCCACCTTACTCAGGTTATGGCTTTCTCAGGTTTTACTGTACTTCTCTCCCTTCCCTCACTCTGTGACAGGGCCTCTCCCATATCAGAGCTTTGCGTGTGCTGGTTTCTGCACAGAGAGCTCATGATGTCCTTAGCGTCTTCTGATCTTGACACAAGGATCTCTATCTCAGTGAGGCCTTGCGTAAGATCAACACCTCCCTTCTACCCACTCCCCCATACCAAGTCCCTATCTCCTTTCCAGTTCTGTTTTTTCCCTATATGTAACACTATCCAGCAAAGTCATATTTTACTTATACAGTTATACAGTGTATCTTATTTGTTGATCGTCCTTAATTCAAGAGGCTCATGTTTTCTTTCCTCACTTGCTTATGAGTCAGAATCGACTCGAGGGCAGTGGGTTTTGTATGCTCATTTCTATATCAGAACAGTGCTTGCCGGGTAGCAGATACCCCAATATTTGTTGGATAAATGCATTTCACTCCAGATCAGTGAGAATTTTGTACAAACCAGCACTGGGCATTGCTAGTCATCAACCTACCAAACTCTTACTCATCTTCAAATGTTAGTTTAAACTGCACTTTGTCAAGGAATAATAACTAACACACTATTGTCTACTGTATACCAGACAATGTATTATCTTTATGTGCACTATCTCATATAAACCTCCCAGCCCTCTGAAGAAGGTACCGTTATTTTTTTTGCATAGTAAGTTTTATTAAGTTTCAAATACAAACATCCCAAAGAGTGAAAAGTGATTTATAATAACTAAGTTCTGTCTATATCTATGTTCAATTACCAGTCAAACAAGTTAAAAATTCCAATTCTTTTACAACCGTTACAAAGCTGGAAGACTCAAGTCCCACTTTTTCCGACAGCAGCTGTTTCAAGTCCGCTAGATCAGTAAACTATGTCAAACAGGTGTTTGGTCATTTAAGCATACTTAGCACTGTTATTTTATTCTTTTGCAGAAAAGGAACCTGAAGCTTTGGGAAGTTGAGCTGCCCAATGAAGAAATGGAGAGCACAGATTTACCTGATCCCACCACCATGCCAGACCCCCATCACCTTGACCATGCTGTACTAGGTTGGGCCCCCTTACCATGTTCCCATAGCCCCTGTATCTTTTGCTGCATGCATAATTCTTTAATATCTATTTTCCCTAGTAGACTGAGGACAGGGACCTTGTCTATCTTGTCTTGCCACTGTGACCCTCACACCTACAGTATAGATACTCATTAAATATTTATCGATTGGTATCTCAGTCACAGGAGCCCTGGTGGTGTGGCGGTTAAGAGTTTGGCTGCTAACCAAAAGGTTGGCAGTTCGAATCCACCAGCTGCTCATTAGCAACCTTACGGGGCAGTCCTACACTGTCCTATAGGGTTGCTATGAGTAGGAATCAACTCGATGGCAACCGGTTTGGTTTTTTTTTTGTTTTTTTTTTTTTTTTGTCTCAGTCACGTACTCACAGGTAAGCTCTCATCTAACTTCACACCCTCTGAACTGAATTCTTGTTTACAGTACTGGAGGTCGACTAGTATGTAATGGGTGGTGCTTCGGACCACCAGGTGCTTTCCAGAAACTCTTTATACATCTACAGCTGGATATGTACCTGGTAAGAACACCTGGCCCCTTTTCCCCTAAGCCTACACCTGTCCTGGATAAAAAAATTACATTAGAGATCTTTTTTTTATGTTCTTACTGAAAGATGATTTAAAAAAATTACTCTTGGCAGGTACTACGGGAGTATGATGTTGCTTTCTGTTAGGCATAATCTTTTAAATCCACTTACATCAATAACTGCAGGACTTTTTAATAGGTCCAAGCCTCTTACTCTTTTACTATACCAGCTAAAACTTTTCCCATATAATTAAGATAGAGGGATCAGTGAAATCAGGTTCAGGAGGAGATTACAAATTATTTTCAGTGCAAAAGTGAGGATGACTTTACAATGTCAAATTACAAATGGACAGTAACTGGGAAGTTTACACCCTCTAGGTCCGTTCATCATTGATCATAAACACATTAACTAATTCATATTCTCCCCATCTGTAACGAAAATAGTCATATTTTTCTACATACTTTACAGAGATGCTGTAAAGGGTTATTTCTTGCAAAATGTGGAAATGTCCACAGATTAAAGGTATCAGAAAGTAAAACAAAGTAAGCACTATTACCTTATTTATATCCCATAGAACCAGTTTGCTTTTAAGTTTGGCAAATTCATAGGCAGTCACTCTCCCAATTCCATGTCCAGCTCCAGTAATCAGTACGATTTCTCCGGCGACTGATTTCCTCTTCTTAGGAATAAAAAGCTTCACAAAAGATTCTAAAATGAAGATGATGAGTAAGGGTAGAAGCAGAAGGCAGCCTAATAAGAATTTCATCCTGTTTGCTGCTGTGAGCTTTTGGTGTGCTGCCGTTTAGCCTTTGGGGGTGGTTCGGTTCAAAAATCCCAAGTAAACGCCAAGGGCAAGGAAAGGCTCTCTGTTAAAGAGAAACCAACAACTAAGAAATCGTTCCTTTCGCTGGTCTGGGCTTTGTTAGGTCTTCTGCAATTGGCTCGGGATACAGAGTTAGCGATTGCTCGCTAGCTCAGAAATCTGGGAGGGACAAAGTCCACATCAGGCAAAACTTCCTAGTTCTCTTTTGCTAAGCCTTAACGATGTTTGCGGCCAAGACAGCCTTTTATCCACTTTTCGCCCGGTCTTGTGAACCGACCGTAGAAGGTTAATTGCACATTTATTTTCCTAAATTTGATAAATTCCTGTTTCTTACAAGGATAACTGAGTGCCCCAGTCCAGATGCTTTTTTGAAATTTGACGGTTGCTTATCTCTAGATAAAGGATACAAATGCTGTTTCCTGTCTTTTAAACATCCTGAGGAGACCAACTGTTCTGCTCCCTGCTGATAAATCGCGCTACATTTTTAATTTGAATTAAGCACAATTTCAGGACAGGATATTTTGTCCTTTCTAGGACAGCTACAGCCAAGCCACCAGACAAATCTGATCATATTAAAGAGAATTGCTTCCAGAAGCAAGAGCAGTATATTTGGATAAACATTTTTCACTAATTAAAAAAAAACTTACTAGAATTTGTGGGAAAACATGGATTATATTTTAGTAATTTTTTTTAAAGTAATTTGTCTTTCTCCATGTGAACTCCTAGCCATTTGTAAGGGCTAATAAATCACTGCCTCCAGGATGAATAATAAAATGGAAAGAATGTCACTTGGCCTAAAGATGATGTATGTAATTTTTGGTTTAGTAGCCTATGTATTTGGAAAGTATGTCAATCATGGACCTGGCAGTCATGGTTTTGAAATGTTGAAATGTAACTCCAGGCAAATCTTCTTCTACCTTCCATTTTTTTTTAGAAGGAGATTATTATAACCTCAGGCGGCCTGGGCCCCAAATTGCAAATCTACCTTCAGCCATAAAGATGCTAAAAAATTAACAGCTTTATCTGGAAAATATAAAT